CTGTGAGGCGAGCAATGTCGTGTTGTGTTGTTGCAGCACCCAGGCACTCTGCAGCAACTTGGTTTACAATGGGGCCATCCCAGCTGGATTGCTTGTGGGCTTTTGGGGATGGTGGTTGAGGTGATTGGCCTGCACGAGAGGCCCACTCTGTGGCACAGCGTGTAAAATTGGGATCATGTACACCTGCCAGCTGATGTAAGTGGGCAGGTAGAATTTCCTTCACAAGGTCGTCGGATGCTGATAAGGAGGACAGGAAGGCTGGAACAGCGATTTGCGTTGCTGTTCGAACTCCGAGGCCCCCAAGTCTTACGGGAAGAGAGGCTTGTTTCCACTGTAGGTCATCGAGAGAGAGGTTAAGGGCTTTTTCTAGCATTGATTTCAGTAACCGGTCATACTCACTTAGTTTTTGGCTACTGTAAGATGGTGAACACCTCAGAAAGTAGGTTAACCTGGGGAGGGACAGACATCTGGTGATGGCAGGGAGGAGCTGTTCGCAAGATGCAACTGTCTGATGGCTCCCAGCTTGACTATGTAAACAGATTCAAATACCTTGGCCTTGAGGTGCCACTGTACGGTCCTGTTGTATTCAGACTCTGTCGTCAGTTTAAAGAGAGGCTCCGAGCTCTCAAGGCTGTTGCAGGTTATCACTCAGACTATGGTGCCAATGTCAGAATTGTCAAAATGATGTACTTTGCATACATCAGATCTTTAGTAGATTATGCTGCACCTCTGCTTGTTTTGATGCCTGAAAGAAAGCTTGGAGGGCTTGAAAAATTGCAAAACGAAGCCTTGAGGATAATCCTTGGGTGCCCTCGTACCACAAAGATACTTAATATGAGAAAGGAACTTAATATTCTGAGCGTTGTTGATCGTGTTACTGAAATTAACTGTCAAATTGGTATAAAAATGCTTAGGCTAACTCATCCTAATCCTTGCACAGAAGCCCTCCAGAATTTCTTTATTGAAGATCAGCATTGTTCCAAATGGATAACAAAAACTGGAACTCAACTCAGAATGTATCAGGTTCATGATTTGTACCAAGAGAAACAACAGCGGCACTTTCCTGCACCGTGGGAGGTTACACCCTTTCCAGTTTTAATCCCTCCCTTTCCACCCAAGAAGCAAATTAGAGATCAGCCCACGCTTCGTCTTGAGGCAAAGCTCAACGCCTTAAGCCATATTGATGCTCTGTCCACAGAGCATTCTCTCTCTCAAATTATATACACTGATGGTTCCCTACACCGCACCACGGGTGCAGCTGGAAGTGCAGTTGTCCTGACAATGGGCGATGGCCTATACTTTGAGTGGGGAGTCCGTATAAACAACTGGGCCTCTACCCTTCAGACTGAACTATTTGCCTTGATCCTTGCACTGAAATGTGTACAAGTCTCAAAACTTGATACATTAATTGTAAGTGACTCCTTATCATCCTTAAATGCTCTCAACTCTTTAAGACATAACTGTAACATGCTCGTGTCCGAAGCTAGACACAAATACAACAAAATTATTAAGGATGGTAACAGAGTCCATTTCATGTGGTCTCCATCTCATGTTGGCCTCCGAATGCATGATAGAGCTGATAAGTTAGCCAAAGAATCTGCCTTTAAAGGAGCCGTTGAGTGTAACCTTGGATTGTCAATGAGCAATCTGAGAGCAGCTGTACACCGAGAACTTCAACAAGATCTTGTAAATCTGAGGCAAAGTGAAATTGACACCAGTAATTCCATCTATCATCATACTATCATGCAAGAGGAGCCACACATCTATGGATCATCCAATAAAATCAGCAGACTTCTAGATGTTACTACTGCTCGGCCTAGACTCGGTTACAAGTATCTCTGGGAATTCTCATTATCTGCTGATGTAGACCTGACCAAATGTAAACTGTGTCAACAAAATTATTCGCACACCCTCCGTCACTATGTGATGGAGTGCGAAAAGATACGTGAATTTAGAGACAATTCTATAACCAATGTTCCAGCGATGTGTCAATATTTCATTCAAAATGATCTGCTACCAGAAATTTTAGCCAAATATCCCCAGTTTGCTAACTGTAGGTAGTAACTAAGTGATTGTAACCTATCCACCGCTGCCCACTGGATGGGGGGCGGTGTGCAGGACAAACATATAAATTTTGACACTAGCTCTCCACATATGTCAGTTGCTTAATTTAGAACCTGTACTTGAGGTCGATCTCGAACCCATTGTTGATGTGATGACTTATATTGAATTTTGTAACTAGCTCATCAAGATTGTAACTTGCTTAGCTAAATGAATTGTGGGGTTCAGTCCCTGAGCCCATTATGTGCCTCTGTAACCCTTTCCACTACCACCCACAAGATGGGTATGGGGTGCATAATAAATGAACTAAAGTAACTAACTGAGGTAGAGTGCATCATGAGCTTCAATATCCTCAATCCTCCCATCCATCCTCTTAAGGTCGGCGATTTTCTTATCAAGGACCTCATCGATGGCTTTCAACCCCAGGGGAGCTCCTAGGAGTGTGCTGTCTTCAGGTTTAGTTTTATGGATATTTGGCAGAAGACCCTCTATTCTCTCTACGATGCCCTGGTTGGAACATATTATTTCACATTTAGAAGGGTTCAGGGTGAGGCCTAAAACTGCACCCTGCTCCTGGATTTTTCTGATGTCCTCCAGGATTGAGTCTTGGGAACCAGCTAGGGTACCATCATCCAAGAACCAGATGTTAAACTCGCTGGACAGGACCTCTGTGACTTGTTTGATGACTAAGCAGAAAAGGAGAGGAGCAAGGGGGTCACCCTGTTGGACGCCTTCTCGCGAGTCAATTTCATGTTCGCCAAAAAGTAGCTTTAAGTCCATACTGTAGCATGAATGTACAAAAGGGTAGAGGGAAGGGAAATGACTATGAACCGCACGGAGTACAGCATCCCTCCGCACCAAATTGAAGGCATTTTTTAAATCTAGCTTGATAAGGGCCTTTTCGTCTGTGATGTTGGTGATGAAGGCTCGAGCTGCATGGGCTGCCGCCTCACACCCTTGTGGAATGCCAAACCCGAGCTGTTTTGGCTTCAGCATGTTGGCCGCTGCATCACTAACTGTTCTTGCAGCTGCCTTTGCGGCAGCTGCATATTATATATATATATATATATATATATATATATATATATATATATATATATATATATATATATATATATATATATATATATATATATATATATATATATATATATATATATATATATATATATTATATATATATATATATATATATATATATATATATATATTATATATATATATATATATATATATTATATATATATTATATATATATATATATATATATATATATATATATATATATATATATATATATATATATATATATATATATATATATATATATATATATATATATATATATATATATAATATATATATATATATATATTATATATATTATATATATATATATATATTATATATATATATTATATATATATTATATATATATATAATCATGAAGAAATTAACACATGATGAATAATGTGACAATGTATAACTACATAGGAATAATGAAACAAGACATTACTTGCGTATAACCAATGAAGCACAGTTCTTGAATACATAGGCAGAAAAAGGTGACTTTGTGATGTGAAAAACAAAGTCTTTGTAATATTGGCTACTAAACATTAGAACAAGACGAAAATAAGCTGTAAAGATTGTAATACATTCTATGTTAGTCAAACATCCAAAGATCTGACATTTCGAATTGTGTAGCATAAATTAATATTCTGTAATAAGTGGCTAAATATCTAATGCTGTATTCATTAATTTCTCAGAAAATTCTCACCAAATTGATTGGGATAGGTTTTCTTCATTAACAAAATGTAAAATCATTTTTAATAGAAACATTATTGAATATGCTTGAATATAAATTACAGAGCCATAAAACATGAAAATTAATAATGACTTTAACAATTTGCATCCATTTGTAATTGATAAACTAAAAACGATCTCAGTAAGATGATTAATAGCTATCCCATTAGCGATATGACTTCCAGGAACCCACATATATTTGTCATTAAACCTTCTGCCTTTTTCTTCTGTTTTTATGTTCAACAGCCAATATTACGAAGACATTCGCACAAAGAAATCAAATTAATGTGATTTATCAGTGAGGAGGATTCGACCCTGTATCCTGAGTACTCTCAAGCATATTCCTTAAGCCAACGAACAACGATCTAGACTATAAATAATGTGACCTGGGATTCAACTGAATTCACAAGGGGTCCAGAGGCCTTAATCTGACACCGGAGTGCACGCGGGTAATGTGTAAAACCTTGATTTGGTATCTGATCGATACCTCAGGACCCCTTGTGGATTTAGTTGTATCCCAGATTACATTACTTATAGCACAGATCTTGGTTCAGTGGTTTAAGGCTTGTGCTGGGGCGTACCTAGAGTGCAGATTAAAATCTTCCAATATGGCTCAAACTTATTTTTTCCTTTTCTTAAGACTTTTTTTTACATCACAATGTCACCTTTTTTCTGCCTATATATATTCAAGTATTGTATTTCATATATTATACTTTTTAAGATGTGTTGATTAACACGGAAGCGCTTATGTAATTCTACCCGAAACGCTGTGCGTTAGTGGCTTTGCAAGAACACAAATGTTATGAACTCTCTCTCACCCCAATGTTCCTTCTTGTATATAAATAAATAAATTTCTTGTTTCATTTGTCCTTCTTAGTTATACGTTGTCGTCTATATTACACATCACTTTAGGCTTATATCAAGGTCTCCATCAGGCTGAACTACTGACTCTCCCGAGGCTGCAACCCCACAACAGTAGCCTAATTCCGGGGTACCTATTAACTGCTAGATGAACAAAAGCATTAAAAGAAAGGAAACGTACCCAACCATTTATGTCCTGTCTAGGATCCTCGATTGTGAGTCGAGAACATAGACCAAAGTACTTAACTAAACAACAGTCAGTATAGTTGACATACCTGTCGATGTTGGGAGTGTTAATAGTGGTGTTGCCATAGCAGCCAAGGTCCCCGATACCCAGATCGTCTGCCACCAGCACCACAATGTTGGGAAGGCTCTGACGGCGAGTCTGTTGCTCCTGTTGTTGCTGCTCTTTTACAGGTTCTTCCTGTTGCTGATAGTACTGCAGTAGTAGTCCAAAGCCACCAGAGGCTATCACGCCAACCACCACCACCACAGCCCACCACCTGACATTCACCTCTACCATTTTGCTGTGACGGCAGATAATATACCTGACTTACCAGGGGACAACAAACTTTAATGGCCTCGACGAGGACAGGACGCCGGCGGTTTGTCGAAGGTCCCTCCACTTGAGTCTTGTATCTTGGATCCAACAGGCAAGATGATCCCCCTCCACTTGGATCTCTTCCAGGTATATTTTAAAAGTCAACAGTTTTTGCAGTTACGGCTTCAGCGGGTAGGCGGTTCCATGGGATTATAACCCTGTGAGTGTGATGTGTGATTATAGGAAGGGAGGGAATTATCAGGAGAAAGCGCCAAAGCCCCCCCTGATAATTCCCTCCCTCCCTATAATCACACATCACACCCACAGGATGTGAAAAAGCATGTTTTCAGTCCTAGATTGTGGCTTGTTGATCTTGAAACCATTGCTCTTTGTTTGTGGAGCAACGGTTTAAATTAAAAAACTTAAATTTTTAAATCCAACTTAAAAAGATCAATAGGGTAAAGAGGGGGTCCTTTGACAAGCCGCCGGCTTCCTGTCCTCCTCGAGGCCACTAGTGTTAGCGGCCCTCAGGTAAATTCAATGAACACCACACCTTCACTTCTAAAATTTATATTTTTTTTCAGTGTAGCGTAAAATGCATCACTTTAAACTACTTTACAAAGATATACATACCCCTGTTGTTGACTATCACTTATCTACGTATTTCGGGCAATAATGCTGAATGTTATCATAAAGCGGAGACTAACGCATTCACTACACAACGCTGTGGAAAACTGAGGACCTGCTCAAGCTTACACAAGTATAAGAGGCTTCCTGCTTACGTCATAATCTGAGACCACTTCAAATAGCAGATTTATCCTAGTTTATACGACTACCGCGGTGGTCGTACATCTCTAATAGTCTTCCCATAAACAAACCACAAGTATTGTGTAATATTCGATGAATATTTAATAATGAAGTTAGAATTGGCAGGTGAGAATTGTTTAGGATCAGGGAAAGTGTCTCGCCTCTTTTCATTTATTTACTCAAGTTGAAGTACGTTTATTGAGACAATAAGATACATCTCATATACACCCGGTAGATCTACATCCACCATTTATTTATTTATTTATTTATTATTTATTTATGCATATACAAGAATGTACATAAGGAATGTGAGGATACAAATATGGTAATTACAGTCTTGTAAAGCCACTAGCACGCGCAGCGTTTCGGGCAGGTCCTTAATCTAAGAAAATTTTAAGGAGGTAAATACTTGCAAAAATTATAGACAAAAAAATGATAACAGATTACATGAAATGAAAAAAAGATGAGAGAAAATTGTAGGTACAGTATATTCAAGCACATAGGTAGCTGAGATTGATTGCAATGACAGCTTGAATGGTAGTTGACAAAAAATTGGTAGGCACAATACAGCATAAACAATATAAGAGTGCTTATCTGCTTATCTTCAATAGCTAAGAGTGCTTAAGTGCTTATCAGCACCATAGTACACTTATTAGTTCAGGAGCTTAGGCTATTCTGTTGAAGAAGTGGAAATAAACATGAGATTAATTTTTCATGTTTTTCATTGATTTAAGCTAACAATAAAAGTCTCCCGATATCCTGAGACAATTCTATATTAGTTAGTTTAGTTCATTTATTATGCACCCCATACCCATCTTGTGGGCGGTAGTGGAAAGGGTTACAGAGGCACATAATGGGTTCAGGGACTGAACCCCACAATTCATTTAGCTAAGCAAGTTACAATCTTGATGAGCTAGTTACAAAATTCAATATAAGTCGTCACATCAACAATGGGTTCGAGATCAACCTCAAGTGCAGGTTCTAAATTAAGCAACAGACATATGTGGAGAGCTAGTGTCAAAATTGATATGTTTGTCCTGCACACCGCCCCCCCATCCAGTGGGCAGCGGTGGATAGGTTACAATCACTTAGTTACTACCTACAGTTAGCAAACTGGGTATATTTGGCTAAAATTTCTGGTAGCAGATCATTTTGAATGAAATATTTACACATCGTTGGAACATTGGTTATAGAATTGTCTCTAAATTCACGTATCTTTTCGCACTCCATCACATAGTGGCGGAGGGTATGCGAATAATTTTGTTGACACAGTTTACATTTGGTCAGGTCTACATCGGCAGATAATGAGAATTCCCAGAGATTCTTGTAACCGAGTCTAAGCCGAGCAGTAGTAACATCTAGAAGTCTGCTGATTTTATTGGATGATCCATAGATGTGTGGCTCCTCTTGCATGATAGTATATGATGATAGATGGAATTACTGGTGTCAATTTCACTTTGCCTCAGATCTACAAGATCTTGTTGAAGTTCTCGGTGTACTGCTGCTCTCAGATTGCTCATTGACAATCCAAGGTTACACTCAACGGCTCCTTTAAAGGCAGATTCTTTGGCTAACTTATCAGCTCTATCATGCATTCGGAGGCCAACATGAGATGCGAGACCACATGAAATGGACTCTGTTACCATCCTTAATAATTTTGTTGTATTTGTGTCTAGCTTCGGACACGAGCATGTCTTAAAGAGTTGAGAGCATTTAAGGATGATAAGGAGTCACTTACAATTAATGTATCAAGTTTGGAGATTTGTACACATTTCAGTGCAAGAATCAAGGCAAATAGTTCAGTCTGAAGGGTAGAGGCCCAGTTGTTTATAAGGACTCCCCACTCAAAGTACAAGCCATCGCCCATTGTCAGAACAACTGCACTTCCATCTGCACCATGAATTTTTATTGATTTTGATTTATTTTCATTTAATTATTTTGTGTGACATTGCATTGGAACTGAGCTGTGCTGTTTACCATACCGTTCATTTCCTGAGTATAGTTTATTTTTTTATTTCGTTCTTTTAACTTTTTCTTATATTTCAGTGATTGGAACATCAGATCATTTGGAATGCATCGGACAAGGGAGTGGGGAATGGTAGGGAGGATGAGGGGACGGGAGTGGGGGATGATGGGGGGGGCAGGGGAGGGGGTAATGGTGAGGGGGACGAGGAGATCGGAGAGTTGTGAATGGTGGGGACAGGAGAATGGAGTATGGTGGGGAGGACAAGGGGACAGGGAAGTAGGGGATTAAGGGGAGAACGAGGGAATGGGGAAGAGGGGGAATGATAGGAAGGATGAGGGGACGGGGGAGTGGGAGATGGTGGGGAGGACGAGGGGGACGGTGGAGTGGGGAATGGTTAGGAGGACAAGGGGATGGTCGTCCCTTTGCCCTCCCTTTCGGGGAGGGCTGTTACAACCCTTGAGACAGTACGGTTCTTTCCCCGCAGTGATTAATTATATATAATCGGCCTTGCCAACAGGTGTCTAGGGGTAAAGGAATAAAACACTGCATAACTTGGGGAAACAATATATCTACGCTATGGATGACAAACATAACAATTAAATGGTACAGGTAATAGCCAGAAATATTCTTTAGCATGCAATAATATAATACAAACTCCTTATTGAGCAAAGAGCAATATCACCAGCACATGAACTACTTAATGGAATAAATGCACAATCATCTAACCAGAGAATTAACCGAGTATTAGCTAAAATAACAATAACCACGGACTTAACTTAAAATACATGTCTCCTCCCGATCAACTCTGCCACGCCTCTGACCAAACGTTGGTTCCCAGGCCAGGCATCCTACCACAATATCAACTAAACATCCACATAAACTATTGTGGAAATTCTACTAACAAAATGTAGTACTAATATTCAAATCATTATTAATCTTAAGAGTATTAAGTACTGTTACATTGCTCAATATAATTTACTGGCAAACAATAATAAGAATTAATCAAGGTTGAACTATAACCACTCGCTAAACATCAAGTTCCCACACTGGCCACATCCAAATATGGTCAACCCCCACATGGAGAAACCAACATGAAAATACTTGCACAAAAGCCTCATACAATATAATGCAACTCAGGCACACTACAGCATGCTACAATATATAACATACAATAATCTAACAACATCCAACTGGATATTATAATAATTATAGAACAAGACAATAGTAATATAAGCATCAAGAGTAATGTTAGAATCCTAGTAAGATTCGTAACAAGGGCAAAGGGACGACAAAGGGGGGAAATGGAGGGGAGGACGAGGGGACGGGGGAATGGTTGGGAGGACGAGGATGGGGCAGTGAGGAATGGCTGGGAGGACGAGGGGACTGGGAGACAGGGGAAGGTTGCTGTGGCTCAGCAATGCACATGCGTTGCTGAGCCACAGCAATGCATGGCCGGGTACAGCTAGTAATAATATAAATTCTGACACCAATACATCTGTTTCTGTGCTTTTTAATAAATTTCCTAATAGAAAGGGAAACAGGGAGGTGGATATACCGATAGATAAACATAGGCAGAGAAAGATAGAGGGGAGACAAAGAGACAGACAGACCTGGGTAACACTGGGGGCCCTCCTAGTAACTCATATGCAAAATTTAGAGCAAAGGAACATAGTATACCATTTGCATTAATCAGATGGAACAATAATGGCCTAAAGTATCAATAATAGTCAATGACTATGGGACTAAAGCATCTTATCTGTTATAAGAAAGCTATACTAAAGCATACTGAAAATGGGGAAAGGTATCTAGAAGTTTTCATACTATCAAGAATGGTTAAAAAAAAGATTAGAAAAGCTAAAAGGGGCTATTTGAGGCTAGCCCCAAAATTCTTGGGGCTAGCCTCACTCACCTTTGCAGGATGAATAGTCCGGGTACAGGACAGACAGACTAGGCAGGGCCGGCAATTGGTCCTATGAAAGGGGAGGAGGCCAATAGTAGCGATAAGCTAATCGACGAAAGGTGACACGCAGAGTCCCTAGATTTTTTTATTTTTTATTTTTATTTTTTTTTTTGAGAGAGAAAGAGAACAGGATATGCTTTTTCACCTACAGGGTTATTAACCCATGGAATAGCCTACCCGCTGAAGCCGTACCTGCCAAAACTGTGTTGAGTTTTAAAATATACCCAGAAAAGATCAGAAGATCCCCCAAGGCAAATGAGGGGACCTTCGACAAGCCGCCGGCTTCCTGTCCTCGCCAAGACCACTAGGGTTAGTGTCCCTCAGGTAAATCAGGTAAAAATACAAACCAAACTCCTAACCATACAGTGATAACACACCTTGAAGAACATCCGTGTAATGAGCAGCTCCCTTGATCATACCTTGCTACCTTGCAGCCATTACGCTATGTCATGATGCACTGGGCTTCTCCTCTTACTTATATATGTGACTTAGTGATGTATTACTTGTGGTCATGTCCAGTGACCACAAGTAATGCATCATTAAATCACTGGGCAAAACTATGTAGAATTCTGAGCAGTTTTCAATGATTTGCCAGGAACACCAAGGCCAAACCTACAATGAACCTGCTTGATGGGATTCTGGGAATTCTTCTACTCCCCAAGCCTGGCCCGAGGCCAGGCTTGACTTGTGAGAGCTTGGTCCAACAGGAGTTTGCTTGGAGCGCCCACAAGCCTACATATCCACCACAGCCCGGTTGGTCCAGCACTTCTTGAAGAAAACTATCTAGTTTTCTCTTGAAGATGTCCACGGTTGTTCCAGCAATATTTCTTATCAGATTTCATTTACTGTAATGTAATGTACTTTATTATAGTACTATAATGTACTGAACAAAAATCAGCAATTAGAACAATAACAAACTCCAGTCCCATACACCACTGTGCTTCCTCACTGAAATCTTTGAACATGTTAAATATCAAATCTCTGCACATACTGTCAAGGATACTCCATATCAATAAAACTCTGAACTGCAATGTCAATCCTGACCTTAGTGCTTTCTGGAAAGCTGTAACAGAAATCATGGGCACCACACGAGAAACAAAAACTCGGATATTCCTAGAGACTCAACCAAAGCAGAAATGCTATGTAACTCAAGGGTCCCAAATTGTAGAATGACCTCCCAAATGTAATTAAAAGCTGTACATCTTCTAACCAGTTTAAAAAAAAAGGATACTAAGAAATACTTTATATCATGTAACTAATTTTACTCGTATTTCCCCTCGTAATAAGGTATTTTTGTGTTACTATTATCTTCAATTGTATTTAAAATTTATGTCCTTTCTTCAGTGTCATCTGATTATTGTATACATATTTGTAAAATTGCTTACTGAAAGACCTAAATGATTGCCTTGTTTATTTGTAAGTGTGTAGCAAGTATACTATGTCAGTAATATACTTGCCCCATATTCTCATTAGTATACATGAAGATAATGAGATGGCTCTGTTAATTCTACCTAGTCCACAAATTACAATTAATACCTCTTCCCAAGTGTAGTTAATATTTATTTATTTATTTATATATATACAAGAATGTACATTGGGTTTATGAGAGCACATAGCATTTATATTTTTACATTCTTGTAAAGCCATTAATATTTATAGCTTTTCAGGCAAAAGCGTTCCCAAAACCTCTTTCAAAACCTGCTAGAGGATGATCAAGTGAAGTGTAGGACTGGTAATATAAGCAGTCGATAGCGAATCATCAATCTAACTCCAAGAGTGGTTCAGTACAAATGTTTGCGAGATTTCGCACATCTTCAACACTGTTGATATTCAGCGTGCACCCGAATCACCAACCTGCCGTCACACCATTGCTTGCTGCAAGCAATGGTCACACCACACCACCTGCAAACTCCTGTAGACTATATTCATCCAATTATATATATTTTATTATTATCTGTGTTTATTGTCACAACTGACATAACAATAAAACATTACAAGTGTTTACCTCAAATAAACCATTAAATTTTACCAATCTTCTGTATGGTATGTTCTAGTAGCTTTAATAAATTACACCTTTGTGTTCTGTTTCCATTTTTAATGATAAAAACTACTGTGATATTGCTAGAATTACAGATTCCATAATGTAACAGTCTTGCCTGTCATCACGAGATATCGCCTGTATAATATACAGTATATCACTTATTATATTTCTTGAACATTCTAACTTAAGTTAGCTTACGTCTCTTTTAGTATTAAGTGTTTACCCCTTTACACTCTTAAAATAGGTTTTTATCTACTGTAAATTATTCTAAGTTTTCCCTGAAATGTTTTTTGTATAAGTGACTTTATTTGTATGAGTAACACCTGTTTCGACAATTGTTCCTTCCTTTTATATTCTTTGGACTAACATTCTTATGAATAAAAATTATTAATACTATTACTTGCTATTGATATAAAGAACTTCTACATACACCGTTTTAAGGAATTTTGGGGGACATTGAAATGCATATTTTGCATAACAGAGAAGCTGTTAGGTGGTGTTGCATTCCATTTATGATACCTAATCACAACCCCAGTATACAGCATTCACTATTTGCCTTTACTTCCTCAAACATTCTTGTGAATACACACACACACAGGAGAGCAAAATTACTAAATCACGGAGAGATAGATTGGGAATCAAGAAACCCCAGGCTGTCGTGTGGAAGAAACATGGGGTGCATAATTAGTGGAAGTTATAGTAAGGAACTTCTTAACAAAAAAGATTAGATCTTTGTGTTTAGATAGGAGATGCCTCGTATGGGCCAATAAGCCTTCTGCAGTTATCTCTATGTTTCACCTCACATTTATCCCTTATGTATCCCCCCATGTTTTCTCCTTTATTGTATTATCACCTGACCTAGTGCGGGTATAAAATCAACCAGCATTGTAAGATCTGTTCACTTGAGAGTGAACCATGGAGGTTCGAAACGTTGTGCAAATTGTATAAATAAGTGTAATACACTCTATAGTAAATCACTTCTTTTCTTCACCTTAAAAGTACGAAAATGAGTTTTGGAGAACTCCTATTTCAACTAAGCCCTAATGCTAAGAAAATAGTTAGAGGGATAGAAGCCCTAAACCAGAAAATAATAAATACAGAATATGTGGTCATATTCAATGAAACATGTTTGAAAGAAAACCTGCTGCCAGTATACACCAATATATATATATATATATATATATATATATATATATATATATATATATATATATATATATATATATATATATGTATGTATATATATATATGTCGTACCTAGTAGCCAGAACGCACTTCTCAGCCTACTATGCAAGGCCCGATTTGCCTAATAAGCCAAGTTTTCATGAGTTAATTGTTTTTCGACTACCTAACCTACCTAACCTAACCTAACCTAACTTTTTCGGCTACCTAACCAAACCTAACCTATAAAGATAGGTTAGGTTAGGTTAGGTTGGGTTGGTTAGGTTCGGTCATATATCTACGTTAATTTTAACTCCAATAAAAAAAAATTGACCTCATACATAATGAAATGGGTAGCTTTATCATTTCATAAGAAAAAAATTAGAAAAAATATATTAATTCAGGAAAACTTGTCTTATTAGGCAAATCGGGCCATGCATAGTAGGCCAAAAAGTGAGTTCTGGCTACTAGGTACGACATATATATATATAGGTATATATATATGTCGTACCTAGTAGCCAGAACGCACTTCTCAGCCTACTATGCAAGGCTCGATTTGCCTGATAAGCCAAGTTTTACTGAATTAATTGTTTTCCGACTACCTAACCTACCTAACCTAACCTAACCTAACTTTTTCGGCTACCTAACCTAACCTATAAAGATAGGATAGGTTAGGTTAGGTAGGGTTGGTTAGGTTCGGTCATATATCTACGTTAATTTTAGCTCCAATAAAAAAAATTGACCTCATACATAATGAAATGGGTAGCTTTATCATTTCATAAGAAAAAAATTAAAGAAAATATATTAATTCAGGAAAACTTGGCTTATTAGGCAAATCGGGCCTTGCATAGTAGGCTGAGAAGTGCGTTCTGGCTACTAGGTACGACATATATATATATATATATATATATATATATATATATATATATATATATATATATATATATATATATATATATATATATATATATTGTGACGATAATCTCCTTCAAGAGATTGAGCCTGCTCTTCCCTCCAAAAGTACGTCGTTACCAATATATAAAACTACTATGGAAGAAATGTCCAACAACGACAACAACATCTCCAAGGTTTGCCAGAGAGCAAAACGTATGCAGCCAGGAACACCTGCTCAGCCTCAAACCGCCAAACTACCTGTCTTGTTGCCGGCTCCTCGCTGATTGGCCGCCGGTCTAGCTGCAACTGCACTCCACCCACCACACTACTTGATGTCTGGGGCCGCCACGACCTCAGTCCTCAGAATATTCAGTGCTTTCATACGGTTAACACTTCTTCCTGGTAGACTAAAGCTTTGGCTTACGTGTACTAAGAGAGGTGATAGCTTGAAGCCAATATTCCTGCACCTCTCATTTTATTGTATATTGCACAGCTTGTTATTATTCACTTGTCTTAACATAACTTTTCACTTTGTCATTTAATTCTTCTTATTATTTTGATTGATTTATTTTATTATACGAATTTGTATGTCCATTTTATTCATGTTTTGTTTATCTAACGTAATTAAAATTCCATTGTTAAAATTTACTTGTGTTTTGTGTGTCTTCTCCTTACCTTACCACAGACGAAGTTCCAGATTTTCTATTTTTTTTTAATTCTATGTGACGAGGCCATACCCCTAGCTTTGAACAGCCGAACACCAACGCGTTACCGTCACAATATATATATATATATATATATATATATATATATATATATATATATATATATATATATATATATATATATATATATATATATATATATATGCAGAATAACCACATATGAAAAATAGAAAATGCTTAACGCGTTTTCGGCTAATTCGCCTTCATCAGAGCAAAGTAGAATCAATTGATTCTACTTTGCTCTGATGAAGGCGAATTAGCCGAAAACGCGTTAAGCATTTTCTATTTTTCATATGTGGTTATTCTGCATACTTGGATCAGTGTTTTTGTGATCATTGTTGCATATATATATATATATATATAAATATATATATAATATATATATATATAATATATATAAATATATATATATATATATATATATATATATATATATATATATATATATATATATATATATATATATATATATATATATATATATATATAAGTATGTATGTATGTATGTAATTAGAGAACATTAATTGTTACCATTCTAATGACATTGATGGATATCAGTATAAAATGTAGAAGACATAAGGGAGTAACATAATTTTAAGTTATTTACTTTTTTACAGCAAAATATGCCTCATGCTGGAGTTTTGCTTTATGACACATTAAAAACATATTATTGACTATTATAGAGGTAATATGTACAGTATATTGACAAAATAAGAATAAGATACATACAATTTTAAATTTGAGAATGACTAAATATATAAAAATAAAAAAAAATGTGCACAGCTTCTGAACTATACATAATTAACAGATTTTTAGGGATAATTAATTATATTATTGTAATAATATTATTAATAATAATTGTTGTAATTATTACTCTTCCTTCTGTTGGGTCATGAAGGAAGCCGCCCTCGGGTGAAAGGGGGCTATGACAATCTCTGTCTTGTACCCGTAGGTGCGGGGATCGGTTGTCCACCTCCTGGGGCTCGTGCGGCCCACGATCAGCTACAGGAGGCTGGAGTCGTTCCTGCCCTTGCTGGGGTGGTTCTTCTCCAGTCCCGACCACGACGGCCTCCGAGTTTGGAGTCCCTGTGCATTACACACAGAAATCACACTAACGTAATACATCAAATGAACAAATCCTCATCACGGCCCTCGTGGATTTGTCCCTGTGCATTCTTTTACCAACCTCGAGGTAAACTCCAGAGTTGGGCAGTTCGTTGTTGCCTTTAAACTCATTCTGACAGTTCCCGCGACAGCGCTGGAATCAATTGTATTGGCGTTTGCCTTTCCATTGGAGACTTTCGGCGCCATTGAGAGGTGGGACCTGCTGCATGTGGTGACAGCTTCTCCCCTGTATCAACCTACCCTGGATTTATGCCCTGGAAAGGCCACTCCAGACCAACAAGCAGAGCACAACTTCATAGTCTCTTGAGACTGAGGGATGCATACTATTACTAAGCTAGCTTGGATCTAACTCGCTTTGAACACACTTCTTGCGTAATAATCCAATTCGAAAATTATTCAAATTGTTCGTCAGTAAGACATCTTGGTGACAGGAATTTCTAAATAATATCCAGATTCCAGCTAAGATGTTTTATTCTGTCCTCAAGACTTGCCACACCATTATACACATCACTCATTTTGACATTTTATTTTCTTACAATCAAATACAGGTACAATCAAACTTATAATTGGGAAGTTTGAGTGGTTAAGGATAAAGTGAGTACTAGGAAGAAATACTTATGTTGTTTGCTGGATGGGTGATTTCCTTCACATAAAAGGATATCATTAGTTTATTAATAATATTTTTTCATTAACAAACTAAATTATTTTAGTTTGCTAATGTTATTATTTCCTAAAATGTTGGTAAAGATATCATGCTATTCAACGAATGTGAGGATGGAATTTAAAGATAAAGTCTTGAACATCTTACACAATTTAACTTAACCAGTCAGCATCTTACAGATCCCACAGTTCAAATTTATACAAACTGATGGCAAAACTAGTTATAGGGGGGGCATTCAAGGCTAAATTTCATGAATTTATATGAGTTTTCACGCCCTCCAAACATTTTTCAGGCACTAGAACAAGCAGGGAGCAGCCATATTTGCTCTTCAAATATAAATAAATGTATGTATAGATTATAGTTATGTTACAAATAATGTTTTATGATCTAAAATATATAATGGTTAGTTTTCAGCCATCATCAACAGAGGCAGGCGGGCATCGGACGACCCTCTAGCCCAGCAATGATGTTGGAGGCAGTCAGATTAGCCATAGCCTCCCTTGTTGTTGTTTCGGCACTCCCAATGTGAGGAATTAGTGCTGAAATTCATGGGTCTCTTTTAGAATGAGTAAAATTCAGGGTTTAACAGGTCTTTTTTAAAATGATTCAAGTCAATAATGAATGGCATGTAACTTCAAGCTTCATAAAATTAATATTTTAGCTTTAAAAAGGTCCGTACATCCTAATGCCTACTAAAACCATATTAATACTTTAGCATTCCAATGACACTAAATCATGCCATCCCCCCTCACAATTCCCCCAAATCACTTCCTTCTTTCTTGTAGGGGGGGAACACAGTACTGTATAGGCATAGTTTATCAATGGACCATCCAGAGATACCTCGGGCAACTAGCTTTTACTCATGCAGGCGATGAGTCACAATAACGTGGCTAAAGTATGTTGACCAGACCACACACTAGAAGGTGAAGGGACGACGACGTTTCGGTCCGTCCTGGACCATTCTCAAGTCATTCTCAAGGATTTGAGAATGGTCCAGGACGGACCGAAACGTCGTCGTTCTTTCTCCTTCTAGTGTGTGGTCTAGTCAACAGCTTTTACTCAAGATGGTAAGTGCTGTGCTTGTGAATATCTTCACACTGCTTTGCAAATTACCTGCCAGAAAAATTTGAAAATTATATTTGTTTTCTTCTTACATGGATATAGACTGGTCATGTGTGCACATTTCCATATTTTTATGTTTATGTTAAATAAATGAGGAATGTTAAAAAATACATGAGAAATGTTTAAATGTTCAGAAACATTCATATATTCAGCA